CCTGCTCCTCCCCCCCCCATACACTCTCACATTTTAATCCCCCTTAGGGCTCTGGCCAGAGGGTGTGGGAGGGTCCACAGCTGTCTTTGGGGCCCACTCTATCCCAGGATTACTTCTGCCAAGTGTTGAAGGGAGTGACAGATGTTTCTAGATGTGATTATTAGCTCACTGGGAAATATTTCTGAGACTCATCTCTGAGTCATGTGTGACGGGGATTTTCAACAGTGAAGATTTGTGTGCTGTGCAGTCCTCGAAACTGGTGGACCAACCAGGGCAGAGGGGTGGCCGGAGGGAGCAGGGGAAGCAGAGAATGAGCCTCCTTAGGCAGGAATGGCTTGATGCCTTAGTCACCTCCGGTGGAACCGTGTTACTCATATTTAACTCTTCCGAGTAACCCTCCAGCCCTCAGTGGTGGCCCGGCTGTGACACCTCGGTCTGGGAGAACCCAGGGGGATGGAAGGTGTTCCACAGCCCGCCCAGCCACCAACCAAGCTCTCCTGGCGTGTGAGAGTTTGCGGGCAGCTATGTGCTTCTTGGTTCACAGCTCCATGCCTCCCCTCGGCCCAGTTCCTGCATTCCAGAAATCTGAGGAGGGGGGCCTGATCTGGAGGTCCCCATCTCCACCACTTGCTTGTCTTAGGCCACGGCCGTTGTGCACATGGTCCTACTGAGCCCAACAGAGCCCTTTGAGTAAAGACATGGTCAGCCAATCCCTCTGCACCTCGTAGAATACTTTTTGTAAAGTGCTGGTGATTGTAAATGTAGGCACTATAGTGTAAAGACATTGCACCCCAGTAAAGAGAGAATTTTTAAAGCAGAGATATCGGGCATTGTAATAGTCAGCTTTTGCTGCAAAGGTGCCGTGTAACAAACTGCCCCCAGACTTGCTGGCTTACAACAGCATTTCTTTTTCTCCTGGGTTGGCTTCAGGGATGCTGCTTCAAACTGTGGGACCTGAGACTTGGCTCCAGGCTTTGGGTTGAGCTCAGGTTGGGCCCATGCGCCACCTTTTTGAGCAGCAGCTTCACAGTGGTGATAGGAGCACAGGAGGAAAAGCACAAACATGTGAAGCCCCTGCATACTCGGCTCAGAATCATCACGTTGTAGCTTCTACCACCATTCCATTGGCCACATCAAAGCACTTGGCCAAGCCCAAATTTCAATGGGATAGGGAAACAGTACCCCATCCTGTGTAGGGCACTGTTGCACGATTATGTGAACAGGGAAAGGAGGGAAGGCATTTACCCAGCCTTCTCCATAGCTCCCATGCACACCGTGGCAACGCCATGAGAAGGGATTCCAGGAAGCTCAAGGAGCTCTGAGGAGGCCTGCGTGGGAGGAGCACCGAGTGTAAAATGCATGGAGGCGTTTCCATGGCCCTCCAGTCCCATCTGGAACACAGTGGTTCATGTCCATTGCAGGTGGGGAAGGGCAGGAGGCCGACCACTTTCCCCTGGTCCCCTGCACCCTCACCTCCAAACCTCCTGGCAGCCCTCTGCCCTTTGGAGCAGGTTCCTCTGAGCATCCCCTTCAAGTTTCAAAGATATTTTAAAAGTGACTTTCTGAAGTACTTAGCTAAAAACACACCAAAGAATTTGAGACAACTGCTAGCAATTCTTAGTGCCAATGATGAGAACGCCTGTGGCTCATCGACATTATAAAAGGCCAGTGGCCGTAACGCCGTAATGACCAAACGACCGGTCACCAGGAGGTGCATTGATGGGTCTCGTGAGATTTTGCGCGCTGGGCCTCTAGTCCTCTGATAACTGGAGGGTGGTTCTTGTCAGGAGCTGGAGCCCGTGAGCTGCTGCGTATCACAGCAGCTGTGCTTACAAGACTCGTGAGAGGCAACGGGGGTTTTGATCCAACAAGACAGTGATTCGCAGTCTCGCAGACGGAGTGGCCATTGCGCGGAGGGTTGATTTCCCCTTTAAAGGGCCATACATAGAATGCCGTGTGGGTATTTGAGAACGCTCCTCATCTTTCCTTTAACGGAGAAACCCAGGTTGCTTAGAGAAACAATAAATGTATTCCTTTGGCTAAACATGTGAAAGGCAATGAGGAAATGACTACTTGTTGGATGGCTAGGTGTTTTCACATCCCTGGCCACGTGGAAAGGGAGAAAAACAAGTTGCCAGCCTGAAAGCTGTCCCTTTAAGAGGGTTGCATGAGAGGAGTTATGGAGATGGCCACAGTGTGAAGCAATGATTCCGGCTCCCCCATACATAGAATGCCGTGTGAGTATTTGAGAACGCTCCTCATCTTCTTTCCTTTAACGGAGAAACCCAGGTTGCTTAGAGAAACAATAAATGTGTTCCTTCGGCTAAACATGTGAAAGGCAATGAGGAAATGACTACTTGTTGGGTGGCTAGGTGTTTTCACATCCCTGGCCACGTGGAAAGCGAGAAAAACAAGTTGCCAGCCTGAAAGCTGCCCCTTTAAGAGGGTTGCATGAGAGGAGTTATGGAGATGGCCACAGTGTGAAGCAATGATTCCGGCTCCCAGGCCTCCCAGGGCGGGAACCCTCACTGTTCCCGGGGTCCAGTCACACCTCCTAGGACGTCACTGTCCCTCGTGGCTGTCTCAGTTCTTGCTGGCTTTGTCCCCAGCTCTCAGCTTGCCCATAACGCCTCTCTTCCTGCCCGAAGCTCATTTCCCACCCTCTGTTAGTCCCTGGCCTCCTCGGCCCAGCACCGACTGTCACCCCATCCCACCCACATGGGAACCCAGCGCACGTCCTGTGTCCAGTCACCGCAGCTCATCTGAGGTGAAGCATTTGAGTGCAGCCCAACCACCTCTTCTTTCCTGGTTTGATGAGTGTTGATAAGAGAGGTGGATTATTGTCATGGTTATTGTTGCTGTTATTGTCGGGTTTAGACTCTGTACCTGTTGCCACAAAAGTCCTCACACGCCTGAAGTTGGGGAAGCACCAAGGGAGTGGGGGGAACTGTCCTCGAGAAGGCCCTATTTGAACGGGGTCCCGGTGAATGAGTAGGCGTTCACCAGCCTCCCAAGCCAGGGAACAGCATTTTAGGCAGAAGGAACAGTACTTACAAAGTCCACACCCGAGTCGAAGGGAAAAGATAACATTTTCTAGGTTTTCCTCTCATGGTGGAGAAGAAAAATGCTATTCCCGCCTCCACACGAGTGATGGTGGGGTGCTGGGAGGACAGAGTGAGCCCACGAAGACCCTTCCTCGCGCAGCTCAGCCTATAGTCTCCCCAACTGATGATATCCCCCAACCTCACGATCCCAGGCCCCCACACAGATGCACGTATCAAGGGGTCCGGCATCCATAGCAATGAGCGGACTAGAGACCAACCAGCAAAGGAGTTGATAGGATGGGTGGACAAGACACTAGTGTTAAGTGGAGAATCATTTGCATGGAGTCTAAGGCTGCAGGTGGGCAGTTCGTGTATCATTTTTCACTTTATTTCCAATGCATCCCTGTCACCTGTGGGGAGGTGTTGTGAATACGAGGACCCCAGGGCTGCCCTGTATTTCTGAATCGTAGCTGTTTCCAAAATGCAGCCTGAGGCACCCGATTCAGGGTGGCCTGGTGGGCTGGACATGACGCGAGGGTGTTGGGTTCCCGGGGAGGGGAGAGGGGGCACTGAGGGTTCACCGGCACCCCCCGCCCCCCAGACTTGCCCTGTGCTTGGCTCTGACCCGCCCCTCCCTCCCTCCTCAGGTATGGAGAGTGCAATCACGCTGTGGCAGTTCCTGTTGCAGTTGCTGCTGGACCAGAAACATGAGCATCTGATCTGCTGGACCTCCAACGATGGTGAGTTCAAGCTCCTCAAAGCAGAAGAAGTGGCCAAGCTGTGGGGACTCCGCAAAAACAAGACGAACATGAACTACGACAAGCTGAGCAGAGCCCTGCGCTACTATTATGACAAGGTAGGCCTTTGCCGGACTGGAGGCTGTGGTGGGGAGCTGGAGCGGGGTGGGGAGCTGGAGCGGAGTCGGGGGCCTCCTTAGTCCATGGTTGAAAGCACATAACCGTGTACTGTGAAAAGCAAGTTAGAAAGTCAAATAGAGGCGATGTATGCAGTTTTGCTTGTTTTGGGTGTTGTTGGTTTTTTTTTTGAGAAAAACAGCTATGGAGATATTTTTTTTTCCGGAAGCCTTTTGGGTATGACTGCAGGTCCAATTCTATGCCTTCTGCATTTTCACCTCTCATAGCTGCAGGCCTCTGTGAGCAACACAAATTAGAGGTGGGTAGGTTGTGGGGCTTCCCTCACGGCTGCTGGGGTGACAGGATGAATGTTAAAATCTAGAAAGCCTGTTGATCTCATCTGGTTTGTAGTTCCCGCACCTGGGCCTTTCCTGGGGGATGGTAGCTTAGGCCTTTCCTGGGGGGATGGTAGCTTGGGCCTTTCGTTCAGTGCCTCTGGGTCATCATTGATAAACCAGGATCCTACCAGTCCTGGCTCAGGATCCCTGTGAAGACGCAGCAAGTGTCATGTGGTCAGTGTTACTTAAAACCAAGCATGTCAAACTTGCGGACAGTGGGCCGAAAACCTCATTTATTTAAAGGAGTCCTGAGGCCCACTGCCTGCGAGTTTGACATGCTTGCTTAAAACAGTGCTTGGTACATGGAGTTCGACACTTCCCTAATCCGAAGACAAACCATGTTCCTTTTTAAGTCACAGCATCATTGCCAGAGCCAGGACAGTTGTGCATTTTAATCATTTCTGGAAAAAGCAGTTAATGTGCCTACTAGGGCAAAAATCAACAACATTGCTCTTTAGGGGCAATCGCTTCAGGCCTGGAATTGTTGACCATTTCTGTGTGGCTCTGTTGTTGCTGACCATGTAGCCTCATTGACAGAAAGACTTGGTCGTAATGAGGGTGAGCTTCTGTTTTGGTTTTACTGCTCATATCGAAAGGTGGATTAAAAACTGATTTAAGTATTAGTTCCCGATCTATATTTAATGATTCCTCCTGCCAGCCTCTTTGGAATTCAGGACAGAAGGATTACACGTTTCAGGAAGTGGAGGCATCGTTACTTATAAAGGTTCCTTCACGCGATCGTAATGGCACATGATTATGGCATCGAAATGTTCGAGGTGCTTTCCTTGAGTGTGGCAGCTGATTAGTCCCAGCTCAGTGCAGGGTCCTGCTAAGATGGGAAAGCACGTCTAGCAAATGGCGCTCGCTGCCTGCAAGCCTGGCAGACGGTCTATTGTTTGGCGTTTTTACCCAGGTCCTAAGTTGCACGGTGGGAATTGGGACCCTCTGAAGGAAAACAGTCGTCTGGCCCGCCGGCTGGCAGGGTGCCCGAAAGCCTGAGGCTTTAAAAAGAAATCATTGTTTTAAGATAAGGTGTCAAAGGAAAGGAGTCCTGCCCCCGCGTCTGGGCCTCCGTTTCACCTCTGGACGCTGGGGCTAAGGACCCCGGGTCGTCATCAGGAAGGGA